AAATACATGAGTTAACAGCATCAAGGAAAGTCCTTAAAACCCAGAGAAGCAGACCACACTGGAGGATTTCAATAATGTTCCTCAGGGCTGCTACATAAAATTCCGGGGCAGGTGCCTGACACAAACTTGGTGCTCAACAGTTTCCTATTCTCGTCCTCTCTCCTCTTTCTGCCCTAGGGAGGGGAGCTGGGAGCCTGGGATGGCCCTGAGTCAGCCCTGTGGCCCCTTGACCTCCCTGGGCTCAGGTGATCCTCTCACCTCAGCCTCCCAAGTCGCTAGGAATATAAGTGCACACCATCATGCCCAACTTTTTTTTTTTTTTTCCGTAGAGACAGGGTCTCGCCATGTTGCCCAGGCTGGCCTTCAAACTCCTGGACTCAAGTGATCCTCCCACTGTTGGGATTACAGGCGTGAGCCACTGCAACTGGCCTGAATCAATTTCTTAAATGAGAAAGGAATGTGCCTCTTCCTCAGAATCCTGAAGATTCTCTCCCTTTCCTCTTGCACCCCATAAGTGTCCCCTGGGACCTCCTTTTAGTGACTTTTTCCCAAGAAATATACTCTGGAATGTCCCCCCCCCCCCCCCCCCCACCAACTTTATTTTTCTTTTCTTTTCTTTTTTGAGACGGAGTCTCACTCTATGCCCAGGCTGGAGTGCAATGGCGCCATCTCGCCTCACTACAACCTCCACCTTCCGGAGTCAAAGATTCTCCAGCCTTGGTTTTCCGAGTAGCTGGGATTACAGGCGCCCACCACCATGCCCCACTAATTTTTGTATTTTTAGTAGAGATGGGATTTCACCATGTTGGCCAGGCTGGTCTTGAACTCTTGACCTCAGATGATCTGCCTGCCTCAGCCTCCCAATATGCTGGGATTACAGGCGTGAGCCATCATGCCTGGCCTACTCTTCTCTTAAAACCCAGATCAAACCACTCCCAAGGAGGTTTTCAGAGTCCCCGGGAGGAAGGACTGGCTCTTCCCACCATAGACTCCATCACTCTGGGATTTGGGCTCGGCACCTCTCACACCTTACTTATGTCCTCCAATGCCCAAGCCAGGAACCTGGATGATCTCAGCTCATTGCTCCTCTCCGTGTCCACTGCCCTGGGAAGATGCTTCGTTCACCTGGGCTGGGCTTTGTCATCTCTTTCTCACTGATCTCTCTGCCGACCAGCCCTGCCCCTCCGGACATTCTCCATTGTCTCAGAGTCACTTTCTTTCTTTTTTTCTTTTTTTGAGACAGAGTCTCCTTTTGTCACCAGGTGCCAGGCTGTAGTGCAGTGGTGGGATCTCGGCTCACTGAAGCCTCTGCCTCCCGCGTTCAAGCAATTCTTCTGCCTCAGCCTCCCAAGTAGCTGGGACTACAGGCGTGCGCCACACGCCCAGCTAATTTTTGTATTTTTTAGTAGAGATGGGGTTTCACCATGTTGGCCAGGATGGTTTCAATCTCTTGACTTCGTGATCCGCCCGCCTCGGCCTCCCAAAGTGCTGGGATTACAGGCGTAAGCCACCACGCCTGGCCTCAGAGTCACTTTCTAATAGAGGGTGCTCAGTGGCTATTTGTTGACAGACCAAGTAAATGGGGGAAGGAATGAATGAAGGTGTGACAGAAATGTAAAAACAAATGTGCTCCCCTTGGATTTTAACCTTTCTCTTTTCTTTTTTGAGATGGAGTCTTGCTCTATTACCAGGCTGCAGTGCAGTGGCTCGATCCTGGCTCACTGCAATCTCCACCTCCCGGGCTCAAGCTATTCCCCTGCCTCACTCTGTCGCTCAGGCTGGGGTGCAGTGGTGAAATCTTGGCTCACTGCAACTTCCGCCTTCCACATTTACGCGATTCTTCCGCCTCAGCCTCCCGAGTAGCTGGGATTATAGGCGCCTGCCACCACGCCTGGCTAATTTTTGTATTTTTAGTAGAGATGGGGTTTCATCGTGTTGGTGAGGCTGGTCTCAAACTCCTGACCTCAGGTGATCCACCTGCCTCAGCCTCCCAAAGTGCTGGAATTACAGGCGTGGGCCACTGCGCCCAGCAGATTTTAACCTTTCAGTGGCTCCCTATTGCTCTCAGGACAAAGTCCAAGCCTTACATTTAAGGTATTTGCTATCTGAGCCCCACAACACACTCTGGGCTTCTGACCAAGCCATAACCTTGTTCCCCTTCCTGCCTTTGCACAGAAAGCCTCCTCTGCCTGGCTGTCCTTCCCTGCCTTTGCCGTAATCGGGGCCAGAGATGATGAGGTCTGAACCCAAGTGGGAAGGAAGAGTTGGCTGGCACCGATGGGTCTTGAGCTCACTGTTCTTTCTACTCTCAGTGCTGGGGCTTAAGAGGGTGGACTTGGAGTTGAAGTTCTGGGTGCCCATTTGAGTCCTGGCAGAGACATCAGCTGCCAGTTAATAGATATATGAGTCTGGACTGCAGAAGAGAGGCCCCATCTCCAGGTAATAGTTTGGGGGTGATCCCAAATTTGAAGCCAAAGTGCTCAACGGGATCCACTAGAGAGAAAGAGTGGCTCCAGAAGGGAAGGCAGAACCAGGCTGGGCGCAGTGGCTTACACCTGTAATCCCAGCACTTTGGGAGGCTGAGGTGGGAGGATTACTTGAGCCCAGGAGTTGGAGACCAGCCTGGGCAATGTGGTGAGACCACCAACTCTGAAAGAAAAAAAAAGGCAGAAGACATTTAGATTCCAGTCAGGGGATCTGCTGATAGCCAATGAGCCAGGAGCAGGGATGTCCTCAAGGCTGGGGGAAGAAATGGCTTCCAGAGGGAGTGAGTGACCTACCACGTTAAATGCTGCCAAAAGGCAGAGGAAAGGAGCAAGGGGGACGTTCAGGAGCAGCAGCCGCAGGACTCAGGGAAGGATTCAACGTGGGAGTGGGGAGGTCAGAAGGCTGAGGGGTACCGAAGGTCTGGCTTGGAAAAATGGGCGGAAGGGCATGCCAAGCCCCATGGAGGAAGCCTGGGGAAGAGCAGTGGCATGTGTGTGGAAATGGAGGGGTCGGTTTGGGCCAGGCTGACCCGAGGTGCCTTTGGGATCTCATTTGATCTATGGGCTGGAGAGGAATCTGTGTTGGAGAGAGAAAATAACACCACCGATCACTCTCTCTCTCTCTTTTCTCTCTCCTGTATCTATGAGCTCATCTATATGCTACTCTGAAATCTCTATTTCCAGCCTAGATCTCTGTCCAGAACTCCTGGTGCCCTTGGAGGTCAGCCTGGATGTCCCATAGGGACCTGTAAAACAGACAAACAGGCCCCAGTGGACACAGATCAGAGAGGACAGAGTTGGAGGCAGGAAACCCGGGAGAAAGTCAACTGGACTGGTCCAGACAAAGGCAATGGTGGCCTGAACTAGGCGAGGGAAGAGGGCAGATCAGGAGAGGATGAAGTCTAGAGACATTCCTGGAGCAGAGAGTCCCAGAGATGGGGACTGGGTTCTGCGTGAAGGGAGAGCGGCTGAAGGAGGGAGGGACATGGCTGCTGCTCCTGAGGGCTGGGTGTGGGGCTGCCCTGAGCTGGCTTCATTTTAGGTGGAGCCCACCTGGCTGCCAGTCTCACCTGTTTATGTGACTGAGAGCCCCGTAAAGGGCAGGGGATGAGTCATAGGGTTTTTTTTTTTTGTTTTGTTTTAGACAGAGTATTGCCCTTGTCACTCAGGCTGGACTGCAGTTGTGTGATCTCGGCTCAAGGCAACCTCTGCCTTCCTGATTCAAGTGATTCTCCTGCCTCCCAAGTAGCTGGGATTACAGGTGCCCAGCATCACACCTGGCTAATTTTTTTATTTTTAGTAAAGACGGGGTTTCACCATGTTGGCCGGACTGGTCTCGAACTCCTGACCTCAAGCAATCCACCTCCCTTGGCCTCCCAATGTGCTGGGATTACAGGCATGAGCCACTACACCCAGCCCCTAAGGGGTCTTATATGGGTGGGGAAGGGGGCTCCTGTTGAGCAGTGATTGGATGCATCAGGGCAGCTCTTTCCTCTAGCCATCAACACCCTCTGCTAGACCTTTGCAAGGAGGCTTGGGGGGGTTCGGGGGGGGAGGGAGGAATCCCTCCAGGCCCCAGTCCTGGACAGGACCTGGGAGAGTGGGTAAGAGAGGGCGCAAGGGCAGGTGCCTGAGGCCTCGGACCTAGGTAAGGGCCAGAGACCACTCGCCTTATCACGTCCCTCCCCTGCTTTAAACTTGTTCACGGCTCCATTTCTGCCTGGATAACAGCTTGTACCAGCTTTCAAGGTCTTTGAAGCTGTCCCCGAGTCGGCCTCATTTGAGGCAAAGCCCACTTGGCTGCCAGTCTCACAAATCCCCAAACCTTTCTCCACGCTGCCTCCCTCTGCCTGGAATGCAGCTCCCGGGCATGACCACCTGTCAAGATCCAGCTCTGGGGACCCCTCCAGAAGACCTTCCTGATCCACCAGATGATCCACTGTGCCCCAAACTAATGTCACCCTCCTGCAACACTGTACTCAGCTGGTGCAGGTCTCCTCTTAACGTGGCACTTTAAGAGTCAGGAGAGGCCGGGCATGGTGGCTCACGCCTGTAATCCCAGCACTTTGGGAGGCCGAGGCGGGTGGATCACGAGGTCAAGAGATCGAGACCATCCTGGTCAAAATGATGAAACCCCGTCTCTACTAAAAATACAAAAAATTAGCTGGACATGGTGGCACGTGCCTGTAATCCCAGCTACTCAGGAGGTTGAGGCAGGAGAATTGCCTGAACCCAGGAGGTGGAGGTTGTGGTGAGCCGAGATCGCGCCATTGCACTCCAGCCTGGGTAACAAGAGTGAAACTCCAACTCAAAAGAAAAAAAAAAAAAAAGAGTCAGGAGAGCAGGAACCAGGCCTCTTCCATCCAGTCTACACGGGGGGCTCATGGGCGGGGTAGGCATGGTGGGAGGGTCAAGGGTGATGGCAGATGCCCTCCCAGCCCTGTACGTTTGGTCAACTCAGTGTGTGTATTGATGGGAAGAACTGAGATCCCCTCAAAGTAGAGAGAGCCAGAATGAGGTTGCAGAGAATTTATTTGGAAAATGAAGGGCAGAACCACAGAGATCTCAGGAGGGAGGGCAGAGGGGACTCATCTTCATCCACAGAGGGGACTCTGGATCACGCCGCGTGTCCAGGCCATCTTCCTTCTCAGCCAGCCTTGGTGCAGGTCAGCCCCAGGATGATCATGTGATGGAGCCTGAAGCCTGTCTCCCCAAGTCCCTGGAAAATAGACACCTGTGACACTCCTCCTGAATCCCCAGGGCCCAGGGAGCATGGCTGAGCACGCCAGGCTGCCTGGGTTCAAATCCTGTCCTGCCATGAACTGGCTGGGTGTCTTTGGACAAATGGTGTAACAGCGCTGAGCTTCCACCTCCTCATCTGAGGACACCAAGAATAATGAGGGTACCCACCTCATGGGGATCTGATGAGGCTTAAAGAAGAAAATGCCCGCAGTTTTAGCACAGAACCTGGCAGAGAGTAAATGTGCAATAATAGTAATTATTATAGTTACTATTTTATCAGGAGACCTGGATTCTGGTCCCAGTTCTGCCACTGTTGCCCCCCACTCCCCCACCCCCGCCTGCCTGAGTTTCCGTCTATAAAGTAGGTGTTAATTGATTAAATGAGATAATAGATGCCAAAGAAGCTTCTGAGATGAGCGATTATTTTCTGCTCTTTGAAGTTCACTTCCCCAAGGCTGCAGGGGGTTGTCACCCCCACTCTATCAGGTCTTTACTGGGCTCTCTGTCCAGGCAGGACCTGTTGCTGAAGGGCCAGCCCATCTGCTCCCTTCTGCCCACAAGGCAGAATGAGAGGAAAAGGCTGGGGTTGCCTCAGCAGAGACTGTGGTTAGACAGGACGAAGAACTTCCTTCCGGACTGCAGGATGCTGCCCTGGGAAGGAGCCAGAGGTCGTGGGACTGATGCCGTTGGGGGGAGGAGTTGCTTCCATGGGAACGGCCAGGCCCAGCCAGTTAAGCCAGAGTTACCCAGTGGGGTGAATCTGCTGCGCAGTGACCTCACTTCCAGAGACCCTGATGGGGCCCTGTTTAAACTGACCCCAGGGCTCCCATGATCACAGAGACCACAGACAAAAAAGACACAGAAACATGATTCTCCAGGCACAGACAGCCAGAGGCAAATGGTCACCAACTAGACTACACTGTTCACTCCACCCAGAACACTCCTTCCAGGCTCTGGAAGCGGCTGACTATCCTTCCTAGCCTCGTCTAAGACTTACCTCCTCAGAGGGAATCTGCCGACAATGCATGCATTCTTTCAGCATTTACTGTGCCTCAGCTATGTGTTAGGCACTGTTCTAACCTGTGAACAAGTCCTGGTCCCCGCCCATCCCGTATCAAGTAGCCTGGCCCAGCCCTCTTCTCAAACATAACACACTGTTTCTCCAGTTTATGGCCTGTCTCCCCACCAGAATGTATGCTCCATGAGGGCAGGGACCTCAACTGTTTTCTTCACCAGTGTAAACTCAGTGATTAACTCAGCGTATAAACCTGTCACAAACCACTAAAATAGGCCCGTGGTAAATATTTCTTTGTTTTATTTTTATTTTTTTATTGCATTTTAGGTTTTGGGGTACATGTGAAGAACATGCAAGATTGTTGCATAGGTACACACGTGGCAGTGTGATTTGCTGCCTTCTTCCCCATCACCTATATCTGGCATTTCTCCCCATGCTATCTCTCCCCAACTCCCCATCCCCTGGAAAATATTTCTTTTTGTCTTTTTGAGACAAGGTCTGCTCAATTGCCCAGGCTGGAGTGCAGTGGTGCAATCTCAGCTCACTGCAATCTCTGCCTCCTGGGCTCAAGTGACCCTCCCATCTTAGCCTCCTGAGTAGCTGACACTACAGGTACACACCACCACACCTGGCTAATTTTTCCTATTTTTAGTAGAGATGGGGTTTCGCCATGGACTCCTGGCCTCAAGCAATCTGCCCGCCTTAGCCTCCCAAAGTGCTGGGATTACAGGCGTGAGCCACCAGCCTGGCCAAGCCCTTGATAAATATTTGTTGACTAAATAAATAGACACAGAGATCAGAGACAGGACACACAGAAACAGAGGTGGTACAGACTTTCAGAGATGCACAGAAATGTGAACACAGACACACAGGATGATTGCCACGACAGGGCCCTTCAAACTGACCCCAAGTCTCCTTTCCCTTCCCTCCTTCAGCTTAGCTTCTAGGCCCAGGGCTGGAGTGACCTTTGTCCTGGGGCTGACCCAGTTGGTGTCCACCCAAGTGCACCACCTTCCTGGTCCCTGACTCCCTGCATCGGGCACAGAGCTGGTATTATGTTTAAGAAGTCCTGTTTGGGCCTCCTCTACTTTGTTGGGGTGTCTTCTGATGCACAGAAATTTCGAAGTAGTCAAATTTGTCAATCTTTTTAAAAGTATGTTTGTGTAGGCCCAAGAAGGGCAGAGAAAAATAACCCTGCAAAGACCACACCCCGTACACGGGGCCCCTCTGGCTGCGGCTCAACCCCACAAAGGTCCTAGAACCTCGGAAGCCTCGACGGCAGCGGGCCGACGTCGCGCTCGGACCTCGCCCCTCCCCCACGCCCTCTTGCTAGGCCCCGCCCCAGACCCGCCCTCAACGAGGGCCCGCCCACCGACCGCGCCCCCTGTGGCCCCGCCCCTCACCGGCTCTCACGGGCGCAAGGGAACTAGGTGTCTCTTCCTTTTGCCCAGAAAATAGTAGTTAATATTCTGCCAACGGTGCTTCCACCTGGAGGGAGGAGATATCTGGAAGACAGGGTGCGGCCAAGGATCCTCTCTCTCCCGGTCTGCGCTCACTCCGCCCAGCCCCGCCCCTTCCTTCCGCTCCCTGTCGCCCTCAGGCCCCGCCCTTCCCATCAAGTTCCGCCCACTCTCCTGGCTCCCAGGCCCGGATCCTCGGCTCTGGGGATCCGCCCTTTCCCTAGACCCTGCCCCTTGGCGTAGGCCCCACCCCCATATACTCCCCGGGTCCTCGCCCCGCCCCTCCCCGCGCACTCACGTGAGTCTCGGGCGTGCGCCGTAGCAGCTGGGCCAGCTTGCCGAGGGCACGTCGGCCAGGCCTGTGTCCCCGGGCAGCAGTAGCAGTTTGCGTGCCGGCCAGCGCCAGGCGGCGCCCGGAGGGTGGCGGCGCTGCGGGCTCAGCCAGTAGTCGCCCACGCTGCGGCGGGCGGCGGACACCGGCAACACTGGGCCCCGACTGCCCCAGAAACACAACTCCTTGTCCAGGCGGTGTGGGGTTGTGGCCCGGGGCCGCCTGCGGGGGAGATGGGACAGCAGTCACCCCTGGAGAACAGGACAGGCGGGGAGGAGGGAGCTGCCTCGGATCGGATGAGGCAGGGCGCGGGCCGGGGTCACTCTTGGTCGAGTTAGAGGGACTGGAGGCCCCCACCGGGGCCTTCCCAAGGACCTGGGTGCCTCCTCCCCCAGCCACCAGACCAGGGCGCTTTATCCCACCAACGTCCTCCCTCGGTCCCCCTCACCGGGATAGAAGAAAATTCACCACGAAGTGAGCAGTCTCGGTGAATAGCATGATGTCCAGCCGGTCTGGCCCGACCTCGGCCTCTTTAATACCTGCCTGGACGTGGAGGGGGGGGCCTGAAAACCCATAGTCCCCCTGGGACCGACTGTTTTTAGCAGGAGGCCAGGAGGTGTCAGCTGGCAGAGGAGGTGGGGGTAGAGCTGGTCTCTCGTGAGGTCTAGTCTGGTCTGCCCCCACTAGCCACTTCAGTGGGAGGGGGCTGGTCACCGGATCTCCAAGTTCACCAGAGACGCTCCCCAGGGCCAAAGACAGAAGTGCAAGGATACGGAAAGGCAGTAGGAGGGGACCAGGGACAGGAAGGTCAGCTGCCCTTTGGAGAAACATTTCCCTGTCCCACCCAGGGCCTCCAGCCCTGCTCAAACACTTTTTTTTTTTTTGAGACAGGGTCTCACTTTGTCATCCAGGCTGGAATACAGTGGGGTGATCATAACTCACTGCAGCCTCAACCTCCTGAGCTCAAACGATTTTCCTGCCTCAGTCCCCCAATTCACTGGGACTACAGGCACTTACCACCACACCTGGCTAATGTTTTGTATTTTTTTGTAGATACAGGGATTCACTATGTTGCCAAGGCTGGTCTCCAACTCCTGAGCTCAAGTGACCCACCAACCTTGGCCTCTGAAGTCTAGGATTACAGTTGACCCACGAAGCCCAGCCTTTTTTTTCTTTGAGTTAGGGTCTCAACTCTGTCACCCAGGCTGTGGTGCAGTGGCACAATCACTACTCACTGCATTCTCAACCTCTCAGGGCTCAAGCAATCCTGCCTTTGCAGGAAGACTGCTGGGATTGAAGCAGCTGGGATGGCAGGCCCATGCCACCAAGGTTGACTAATTTTGTGTGTGTGTGTGTGTTTTTTTTTTTTAATAGAGATGGGGTTTCTCCATGTTGGCCAGGCTGGTCTCGAACTCCTGACCTCAGGTGATCTGCCTACCTCGGCCTCCCAAAGTGCTGGGATTACAGGCGTGAGCCACTGCACCTGGCCATATTTTGTTTTTTTTGTAGAGATAAGAGTTTTGCCATGTTGCCTAGGCTGGTCTCAAACTCCTGGAATCAAGCAGTTTGCCCCACTCCCAATCAGCTTTCCCAAGTGCTGGGGTTGCAGGCGTGAGCCACCACTCCTGGCTGGCCTCACACATTCTGGATTGTGTGTTCAGGCACAACTCACCTCAAAGGGCCTTCTCTTCTCCCAGGCTTAGATGCACCCTGACCTGTTCCCATGGCCCTCATAGGAGCCTTTTCCCTAATTCTATGCACGCTTAAATGTGAGCTCCTCAGCCAACTGTAGTTCGGAGGCTGCTGGGGCTCCAGGACCCCCTAAACTGTCAGCAAAGTCCTGGTCCTGACACTTTCCTTCCCCAGAACTGAAAAGTCGATCTGTTTAACCCTCTCTTTTTGCAGAAGAGGCAACAGGTTCACAATGGGGCAGTGAAAAGTCAAAAGTGAAACCTAAGCTTTCTACAACTCTGCCTGCTCCTACAAAAGGTGAGACAACCCTTCTGTGTGTCCTTGTGTAGCTCAGGGCATGGGGTTCAGGGCTCAGAGCCCAGGCTGCTCCTGGCTCCTCCCTGACCCTTGGGGATCCTAAGGAACATGCTGGCCCAGCCCCCGCTTCCACATTGCCAGTTTGGGCTATTTCCCCCCCAGTGACTCACACTGGCTGCTGGGGAGAGTGGGCAGCTGTTCTGAGCCCCCGGAGCCCAGAACAGGCCCTGACTTGCCCCCCCAGGTTGTGCAGCCATATTTGGGGATTTAATCTGTTTTTCCTCCATGGGGAATCTCCTTCCCCTAATCCCTTCTTTTTTTTCCCTATCTCCAACCATTTTCCATATCTTCAGCCTCTCCCTCCCTGATGGCTTCTTCCCATCAGCAGACAAACAAGCTCTAGTTTTTCCTATCTTTGAAAAAAGAAAGCCCTCCCTCCACTCCACATCCTTCTCCAGCTCCCCTCTGCAGCCAGCATTCTTGAAGGAGTTGTATACACACGTTGTTTCCACTTCCTCACTCAGCCCCTGCAATCTGGCTTCCTCCCCCACCATTCCACAGGAACAGCCCGCCAAGGTCACCACTAACCTCCTTGTTGCTAAATCCAAGGGATGCTTACAAGTCTTTATCTGTCTTGACCCCTTAGCAGTGGCCAGCTTTGACACAAATAACTCCCTCCTCTTTGAGATACTTTTAGGTCCTCGTATTTCTGGACACTGTGCACTTTTGATTTTCTTGCTATCTTATGGGTTGCTGCCACATGGCAAATTTCTTATCCTTTGCTCACTGCCTAATCATGGTTGTTCCCAGACCTGCTACAGTCTGTCCCCGGGGAGTCTCATCAACTCCCATGCCCTCAGCGTCCAGCCCGTGCCAGAAACTCCTTTCTCTTTCTCAGTCCAGCCTTATCCCCTGCCCCACACCTGCCTCCTGGACCTCTCCTGCTCAATGTGCCACTCTCAGGAAGCAGGCTGCACACCTGCCCTCCCTCCATGTCCCCCAGCTTAGCCATCTCCCAGCTGTCTGAACCTGAAATCTGGATTTGGTTCTAGACTCTGTCCTCTCTCACCCTTTTCATCCTCAAGCAGCTACAAAATCCTGTCCTTTCAGGACATACCTAAAATCCCATTGTCTCTCTCCGTTTCGGCCACCAACACCTGCACCAAGGCCCTATCACCTTTCACCAGAGAGGCTGCAGCAGCCTCCTGATCTGTCTCCCTGCTGCCACTCTCAATCCCCTATGTGGTCTGTTCCTACAGGGCAGCTGGGTGTCTTTCTAAAATAGGAATATGTCTCCCTGCACCATCCATGTCTTTAGCACCAAGTTCACCCAACCCATGGCCCATGCCAAACCCAGTGTTGGGGACGTTCCTCAGTCTTTGCCTGGGTAACAGCTTCTCATCCTTCAGTTCAAGTGTCCATTTATGAGAGCCATTTCCAACCTCCCAGCCGGGCAGGTGGCTCCGCCGTTGCTTCTTCTCACACCACCAAGGCCTCTCCTCTGTGGACCTTGCAAGCAGTCATTCACTAGCTAGTCTAATCTGCAGATTCCTGAGCCCTCCTGTTCTAGACCTTGGGGATGTCAGGAGGAGGATGTTCCTGCCCGCAGTGAGCCTGTAGTGTAACAGGGAGGACAGGCATTAGGTTCGGGTCAGGAATAGATATTGAAGGCAACCCAGAGGACATGCAGGCCCTAAGGGTGGGGGACTGATGGGTGGTCAGGGGAGCCATCTTTGAGGGTGATCTGTGGGGTCAGGCAGAAGGGACGGTGTGCTTAAGGTGGGAGGAATGTTTTGTGATGATCTGAAAGGTGTCCTTTGTGGCTGGACAAGGGATGTGAAGAAGCCATTGATGAGGTTTAAATAGGAAACTGACCAGGCTGCATTTGTGGTCTTTATAAAATAATTCTGGATTGGAGGATCAAGTGAGGAAGGAAGGAGGGAGAGACCTGGCAGGGAGCTGCTGGAATGATCAGGTGAGTAGTAAGGGGGACCTGACCCAGGGCGGTGGCAGTGGATTTGGGCAGACTGAATCGTGGTTGTCAGGGAAAAGGGAGGGAATGAAAATGGTTCCAGTCCTTCTACCCTAAGGGTGGGTGGGGAGAGGGCAGTGGGAGCTGGACCACTCATATCCCCATGGTGACCAGGCCATTCTACCTGTGATCCCTCATCCATCCTTTTTCTTCTTTTTTAAAAATTCATGCAGTGACACAATCTCGGCTCACTGCAGCCGTGACTTCCTGGGCTTAAGCGATCCTTCTATTTTCAGCCTCCTGAGTAGCTGGGACTACAGGTACTCACTACCATACCTGGCTAATAGTTTTGTATTTGTAGAGATGCCATGTTGTCCAGGCTGGTCTTGAACTCCTATGCTCAAGTGACCCCCCTGCCTCAGCCTCCCAGAGTGCTGGGATTACAGCACCAGCCTCATCCTTTTTTTATCCTTTTCTATTTATTAATTTATTTTTGAGACCGAGTCTCACTCTGTTGCCCAGCCTGAAGTGCAGTGGCATGATCTCGGCTCATGGCAACCTCGACCTCCTGAACTCTGGTGATCCTCTTGCCTCAGCCTCCCAAGTAGCTGGGACTACAGGCATGTGCCACCATGCTTGGCTAATTTTCTTTCTTTCTTTCTTTTTTTTTTTTTTTTTTTTGTAGAGACAGGGTTTTGCCACATTGCCCAGGCTGGTCTTGAACTCCTGGCCTCAAGAGATCTGCACACCTCAGCCTCCCAAAATGCTGGGATTACAGGCATGAACGACTGTGCCCGGCCACCCCATCCTTTTTCTTAGGGGAGCATATGGAGGCCCCTAAGAGGTAGAAGGTGTTATTAAGGATTAGGACAAGGCAGAGGGGAGGAGAAGGGGAAGTTGGGTCAGAGTCCAGATGTGATGAGGCTTCAGGGAAAGTGGCATCTGGGGTTTCCTCAGAGCCTGGAAATTCTACAGTTTCTGGTTTCACTCTGAGACCCCCAAATCCTGAGATGCTCAAACCCTGAGGCCCAGTCCTTGTAAGTCCTGGGGGCCCTCTAGGAGATGTGAGTCTGTAGCTGGAAGTCCACAATCCCCTGACAAGTCCCAAGATGATGAGTAGGATTCTTGACCATCCCTATGTCAGTGTGCACTTTGGTTGAGGCAGTCCCCACACCTGTTACCTGCGTGATCCCATGTCATCCTCACATAATCCTTGGAGGCACGTAGCTTATTCAGCCCCATGGCACCTATGAGATTTCAAGGGGTTAAGAAACTTGCTCAAATTCACACGGCTAGGATGAGGCAGAGTGAGGATTTGAACCAAGGTTTGACTGACATCAGAGTCTGTGCTTTTAACTCCTGTGCTATATTAAGCCTGGCGACCCCCCTGGTTGATTGGCTCAGTAAGAGGAGGAGGATTTGTGGGGGATTTGCTTGTGGTTGGGGTGGCTGTCCCCCTCTCATATCAAGTGATGGGAAAGGGTAGCACTGACGTCAATTATTGCCATGGTGATACAGCAACCCTTTCCCTGCTGTCTCCATGGTAACCTGGGGGGTCCATCTGTACTTCGCCCCCTCCTTCTAAAAGGGGGTCCCTTAGGGAGGGGCTGGCTAATAAGGTATCTGAGAAAGAAGTCAGGGAAGGCAGTGATTCGAGCATCCCCCTTTGCCCGGCCCCTCCCCATTCCTCAGGCCCAAAGAATAAGGCCGGGATCTGCATTGGGTCCTGCACCGGGGTCTGGGGACAGTTAGGGTAAGGGAGGCAGCTCTGTCTTTTCCACCTGGGGATTCCCCTGGAAATTCCCCTGCCCCCATACCCCCACCAAGTTCTTAGGCTCCTGAACAGAACTGCTAGGAAGTTGGTAGAGAGAGAGGCAAGAGGGTTTCCTCAGCCCCCTTCAGGGCTGGACATCACCCAACTCCCAGGGACAGTGTCTTTGG